AGGCAATAGATTGTTGCTGATGATATTTTATCCATTTTGCCATTCTATGTCTTTCAGTGGTGCATTTAGTCCATTCACACTTAGGCTAATAATTGAAATGCAAGAGTTGATCCCTGTCATAAGGGTCTTACAGAGTTGTTCCTGTTTGTTTGTTGTCTTTCTTTGGGTTTTGGAGTTGGCTCATGCGTGTTTTTAATCTTTTGCCTGTACTCTTGTGAAGAATGTTGTTGTTCTTTTTTCTTTTTCTTCTGTGTTCAGTACTTTCTTAAGTGTTTCTTGTAGAGGTGGTCTAGTGGCAGCATAGGTTCTTAGGAATTGGATATCTGGAAAAGATTGCAATTCTGTCTCACTAATGAAGCTTAGTTTGGCTGGGTAGGTTATTCTTGGTTGAAATTGTTTATCTTTTAGAACTTTGAAGATAGGGCTCCAGGCTCTCCTAGCCTGAAGGGTTTCTGTGGATAAATATGCTGCTATTCTAATTGGTCTTCCCTGGTAGGTAGTCTGGCCTTTTTCTCTTGCTGCTTTAGAATTTTTTCTTTTATAGCTACTTTGTTTAGGTGAATTATTGTGTGTCTGGGAGTTGGTCTTCTCATTTGTTGTCTTGCAGGGGTTCTCTGAATCTCTTGTGTTTGGATTTTTTCATCCTTGATGAGATAAGGGAAGTTTTCTTGAATGATTTCATGAAATGTTTGTTCCAGTGTGGCTTCTGTTTCTCTCTCTGCCTCAGGAAGCCCAATTACTCTTAGGTGTAGTCTCTTGAAGTGATCATTCACCTCTTGCAGGTTTTGTTCTGTCTTTTTGGGCCTATTTTTTCTATCCTTTTGACAGTTTGGGTTAGTTCTATGTTTTGGTCTTTGAGCTCTGAGATTCTTTCTTCTGCTTGGCTAATTCTGCTTTCCATGCTTATTAATCTGTTATTCATTTCCATCACAGTATTCTTTACTGCTGTTATTTCTGACATCAGTTCTTTCCTATTTTCCTCTTGTCTCTCCTCAATTTTTTTAATTCTCTCCATTAATGTCTTGATGTCTGGGTTTGTTGCATGTGGCCAGTCATTCTGGGGGCTCTTCATTGTTTGTGTTCCAGAATCTGTTTTCTCAGTGTCTGATCTCCCAGGGGCCTGTGTGAGACCTATATTCTTCTTTTTGTTTTTCTTCATTTGTGTGGTTTTTCCCCCTCCCTACTTCTTCCTTCCCTCCACGTCACCGTCTTCTTTAATTCTGTTATTCGGGGGTAAAGGGACTGGTTTTACTTCTGTTTGGTCAATCTCCTATTCTTTATGTATGCCCTCTTACTTTGTTCAGTTCTGGAGTTGTACTGTAGGTTGGGGGTGGTCCTTTTTGAAGTTTTGAGATTTACTTAAGGGGGGAGCTGTGATTCAAAATCTATCTGCAGGTCCTGGTATTCACTGACAGGTGTGTGGATAATCTGGAACCCACTTCTCACTGCCTTGGAATCTGTCCGTGCAGTGGGGCTGTAGATTTATTCCCTGAAAATAAAATATGGTTAGCAGAGGGAAGAGAATGGAGCAGACAGTGGGTTGAAGAGGGGGGTGGAGAGATAAAGGAGTAAGGGGGGAAACAAACATGTGCCAACAAATGGAGAGAGAAACCTATACTGAAACAGATAAAAACAATAGACCACAGCTACAGATGAACCAACTCCCAAACAAAAAAAATAAAACATATAGTTATGCTAACATGCAAGCTAACCAACCACCTTATTGGTGTGCTGTTCCTCTATACAAAGATATGGTTTACAGAGAGAAGAAAAGGAAGAGGAAAAAAAAGAAGAAAAATGGAACAATACAGTAGGAATAGAATTAAGTCATTAAACTAACAGAATCAATGAAGCACACTCTGAGACTTTTCAGTTTAAGTCCAATGTCCTTTCAGTTCTGATTTCTAGTTTTCTTTTCAAGCTGGTAAATTAGTTTGCAGTTAGTGTCTGTTGCCCCTGGTCTGCTGTGAAGGACAGTTCAGACCACCCTCCGTTCACCACTCTGGCCTATGTCTTTTTCAAGCTTGTTTCTCCCGTTTCAGTGTTGTTATCTTGAATCGCCAGCAGGTGGTGCTATCTCAGCTGCTCGCCCCAGAGGGGGTGGGGCCGGACAGGAAGTGGCAGAGACTGGAGATGGATTCCTGCCTCAGGGCACAGGCAGGAGACTCACGCGGGCAGGACGTCTCGGTCACAGGAGAGGTGGCAGTGATCCCAGCAGATCCTCCCTGAAGGGACTTCAAGGACTGAAGTCGTGGATCGCCTCCGGCCTGGGTGGTGCAATGTGCTACCAGTGGCAGTGGCGGCATCTGCACTGCAGTGGCTGTCCAGTCAGCTGCGATGCCCCAGCAGTGGCAACTGCCGAGCTCCATATGAAGAGCAGGCTGCAATGTTGGGGTCCGCAGCCCCCGGGGTGAGAGACAGAGACCCACTGCAGTTCTCCTTTGCAGAGGGTTTCACAGACCAGGTTGCCCCATCGCCATCTTGCCGGAAGTCTTAAAATGTTATTTAAAAAGCAATAAATCTTTAGTTAGACTAAGAAGAAAAGAGAGGGAACTCAATTTACTAACATCAGAAATGAAAGAGAAGACATTATTACAGATACCATGGTCATTAAAAGAAAAATAATGAAATACCATGAAATAATTTATGTCCACAGATTTGGTAATCTAAATAAAATGAGCCAATTCCTTGAAAGACCTAGTCTACAAAAATTCATACAAGAAGAAACAGATAACTTTATTAGACTTATATATATATTTTAAAAGTTAGTAGTTAATAACCTTTCAAAACAAAGATCACTAGGCCCAATGGGTTCACTGGCGAATTTTACCAGACATTTAAAGAAGAAATTATACCAATTGTCTACAATGTTTTTCAGAAAATAGTAGTAGAGGGAATGTGTCCTAACTTATTCTTTGAGGTTAGCATTATGCTAATATCAAAACCAGAAAAAAGACATTCAAGAAAAGTAAATAACAGACCAAGATGAACACAGATAAAAAAAATTCTCAACAAAATATTAACTAATTGTATCTAACAATATATACAATGATTACACGCCATGGCATCATGGATTTATTCCAAGTACTCAAGACTTATTTAGCACTGAAAAAATCAGTAAATCTAATCCATTACATCAATAGGCTAAAAAAGAAACATCACATCATATCAACAGATGCAAAAAAAGCATTTGGAAAAATCCAATTCTCACCCATGATAAGAACTCTCAGCAAACTTGGAATACAGTGGAACATTTTCAACTTGATTTAAAAACTATGAAAACCTAAAACTAACATCATATTTAACAGTTATAAAAACTGGAATTTTTCCCACTAAAACCAGCAATAAGACAAGGATATCCCCTGCCACCACACCTTTTCAACATTATACTAGAAAAGCTAGCTCATGCAATAAGACAAGAAAAAGAAATAAAAGGCATATTTCTTGGAAAGGAAAAAATATAACCATTGTTGTTTGCAGATGACATAATTATCGGTGTAGAAATATGAAATAATTGACAAAAACCTTCTGGAAATAATAAATTAGTCTCTCAGTCTCTCTTTCTCTCTCTCTCTCTCTCTCTCTCTCTCTCTCTCTGTTGCTCTCACCCTCTCTGCAGCTCTCTCCCCGCCTCTCTCCTACTTCCTCTCTCTCTCTCTAGAAATAAATAAAAAATTAAAAAAGAGAAAAAAAATAAAAGAAAATAATAAATTATTGTAAAAAGATTGAAATACAAAAGTCAGTTGTTTTCCTATATACAAGCAAGGAATGAGTAGAACTTGAAATTAGGAACACAATATTATTTATATTGGTACCCTGAAAAATGAAATATTTAGATATAATTATATCTATGTGTCTACAGAGTCTGTATGAGGAAAATAAAAAGACTTTGATAAAATAAATCAAAGAATAACTAAATAAAAAGAAAAAAATCCACATTATATAAAGGAAAACTCAATTTTGCCAAGATGCCAGTTCTTCCCCAATCATAATAACTGGAATGTGTCTTGTGTATATAAACAAACTGATTTCAAAGTTTATATGAGGAGGCAAAAAGACTTAAAATAATCAACACAATATTAAAATAGAAGAAATAAGTCAGAGAATTTACACTATCTGACTTGAAAATTTATGATAAACCTATAGTCATCAACATCTATGGTATGGGTAAAGGAATAAACAAACACTATAGATCAATGGAAGAGAATAGGAAACCCAGAAACAGACATGCATAAATATAGTAGCTGATCTTTGGCAGAGAAGAAAAGGGATTGCAATGAAAAAAATATCTTTTCAACAACTGGTTCTAGAACAACTGAACATCCATATGCAACAACAACTAAAGGAAACAAATGAATGTAGACATAGACCTTACACCTTTTGCAAATATTAACTTACAATGGATTATAGGCCTAAATATAAAAGACAACACTATAAAATTCCTAGAAGGTAATATAAGAGAAAACCTAGATGACCTTGGGTATGGTAATAACTTTTAGATACAACACTAAAAACATGATTCATGATAGAACAAATTGATAAGCAAGATGCCATTAAAATTATACTCTCCTGCCCTGTATGAGGGGGACCCAAAAAAATCCCAGAATCTATTTATTAAAAATTGTGTATTTATCTTTACATGTATAAAATTCAGTCACCTTTAAAGTATTTTATGTTTGATGCAATACACCTGTCAAGATGCTTTTTATCCTGGTCAAAACATTTTTTGATGTCTTTTAGTTCTTTTGCTCTTTTTGTTTCACTTACTCCACATTGGCAAAACATTTCCCCATGAGGATATTTTTCACCAGAGATCAGGTGAATAGGGAGAATGGGGCACAGAGATCATACAGTTTTTGGTCAAAAACTGCTAAACACTTAACACGATGTGAGTGGATATATTGTCATGGTAGAAGAACCAGTCACCTGTTTGCCACAACTCAGAACTTTTCTTCCACCACGCAGCCTCTCAACAACAATGCTAGCTGGAACACAGATGCCAATAGGTTCCTAGAACACTAATCTAGCAGGGGAAAGCCTGTACTACATGTGGCCTGCCCTCCAAAAGATAATTCCGGGTATTTTTGTTTGTTTGTTATTTTTTTTGGTCCCCCTACATAAAAGACAACATTAAGAGAATAAGAAAGCAAGCCATAGACTGGAAAATAATATATGCAAAAGGCACATCTGATAAAGTATTACTTTCTAAAAAATTATAAGAACACTTAAAAATCAACAATAAGGAAACAAACAACCAAATTAAAAATTTGCCAAAATCCTTCACAGACACCTCACTAAAGAAGATATACAGATAAGTATAAGAAAGGATGCTCCACATCATATGTCATCAGGGATATGCAAATTAAAATAGCAAGATATCACTAAACACCCATTACAGCAACCAATATCTGGAACAGTGACACCAAATGCTGATGAAGATATGGAACATCATAAACTCTCATTCTTTGCTGAGGGGAACACAAAGTGTCACAATCTCTTGGAAGACAACTTGTTTATTACAAGACTAAACATACTCTTGTCATAAAATCCAGTGATTCTGTTACTTGGTGTTTATCTTAAAAAAAAAAAATAGCTGAAACATTTTTCCCCATAAAAATTCACACCTTGATGTTTATAGTAGCTTTATTTATAATCACCAAAACTTAGAAACAATGAAGATGTTCTTCAGTGAGGGAATGACTAAATATACTGTTATACATCCAGAAAGTAGAATATTATTAAGTACAAAAAAGAAATGAGTTCTCAAGCCAAGAAAAGACAGAACAAACTTAAATGTATATTACTAAGTGAAAAAAAGTCAATTATGAAAAAAGTGTAACTGTATGATTTCCAGCTATTTGACAATCTGGAAAAGTCAAAACTATAGAGATGGCTAAAAAAAAGTCAGCACTTGCCAGGGACTAGGGGAGAGAGGGATGAAAATGTGGAGCACAAGGAATTTGGGGGGCAGTGAAACAATTCTATATACTATAATGATTGATGCATGTCATATATAGCTGCCCAAACCTACAGAATATGTGACACTGAGTGAAGCCTAATGTAAAACATGGACTCTAGGTAATAATGATGTGTCAATGTAAGTTGCAATGCAAGTTCATCAGTCATAACAAATATCCCAGTCTGGTGGGAAATGTTGATAATGAGTGAGGCTGTGTGTGTGTACGAGAAGAGGATAGATGGGAAATCTCTGTGCTTGTCCCTCACTTATGTTGTGAACCTTAAAGTGATCTAAAAAATAGTCTATTGAGAAAGAAAAGCAAGGGGGATGGAAGGAAAGGAAAGGGAGGGAGGGAGGGAGGGAGGAAGGAAACATTTCTGGGTTGTACATTGTTGACTTTTGGAAAACATAAAGAGCAGATGACAAAATCATATTTTTAAAAAACATACAAACAAAAAACAGTGATACCAAAAAATGAAAAATAGCTGTTTGTATGTATTTTCTTGTATGTGTGTAAACTGAATATTTCATAATGTACCCCAAGTTAATTTCCAGAATAATATACGCTCTTCTAAAGCATAGTATTTTGCCAAAGCAAACATTTTTAGCAGCAATCATAACACCCTTACCCTCACCCAAAAGACAATCATAATTAAAAAAACACATTAGCTGGGCTCAGTGACTCAGCCTGTAATCCCGTACATTTGGGAGGCTGAGGTGAGTAGATTGCCTGAGCCCATGGGTTCGAGACCCGCCTGGGCAGTGAGACCTCATCTCTATAATAAATCAAAAATTAGCCGGGCGTGGTAGCGCATGCCTGTAATTCCGGCTGCTTGGAAGGCTGAGGTGGAAGGATCGCCGGAGCCCAGCAGGTTGAGGCTGCGGTGACCGGAAGTGGCCACTGCACTCCAGTCTGGGCAGCAGAGTGAGACTCCAACTCAGACTCCAACTCAACAACAACAACAAAAAAAACCACATTAGTTAATATACTTTTTCTCATCGTACTAAAAGAAATACAGATGAATGATTTCAAAGAATGAGTCAGAGCTATATCACAGAGACAGGTGTCCATAGTTCTCAATGGTTAAATGGTATCAAATCTTCTAATACCTTGAAAATTTCATACCATAATCCCATTGATATGAATATATGAAGAGATTTGATATTGTTTAATTATTCTTCATATTAAAATCACATTCTTAACTTATTGCTTTGTTAAGTTTTAAATACAAGATAATGAATTCTTAACGCAAATCTGCTATGCAGACTTGATAGTTTTGAAGATCTGGAAGCAGATAGAAGAAACATGTCAGCATGTGCAGTCTCCCCTTCAGTTCCCTCTGATCTCTAGTATACCCATTCCTTTTATGATTATGATTATGATTATGATTATTATCATTTTATTATAAAGATGCGGGATATAATTCAGGGTTAGGTATGCAAACGTTGATTATG